GGGGGGGTTTGCAATCCAAACTGGTAACAGATATATGTGAATATTAAAAAGCACTTAATTTCATCCTACCCCAGAAAAACAATTGCGCCATTGTGCTCGGTATCCGCCTGTGTTTTGCTCCGTGGTTTTAACTAATGAGAGGGATAGATACTCTAAGTGGCTTCCCTCTGGATTTCTCACAAACAGAACACCTCCGCAAGGTCATCTTCACAGTTGGATGAGATTCATCCATGAAGCAGTGAAACACAATGCCAAATCTTACAATTATTGTTACATACAGTATTTAGGGCTTTGAAATAAGTTACTGTAGGTAACATTTTTCATGTTGATATCTTCAACTAATGGCGTTCGATTTTAAGACAACTTCTCAACTTAATCTCTAACCGTGAACAGCTCTTCATTTACAAAAGTTAATTATACATTCTGTGTATAATGAACTTTTATTGAACACTTTAACTTGTTGTTTGTATTTATGTTTGCATTCAAACAAAGTCAATAAAGCTAAAGGAAATGTTTTTCTCTCGAATTAACTTTGTTTTTGACTGCCACAAATGCAGAATTCAGCACAGGGAGAACGTTGTAATTTACTTAATTAAGTATAAATACAATCTTTTTAAATTCCAAACCAAGATTGTTTACCTAGCTAACATAGTCTATTTATTGCATTATTGATTTGTTTTGTTACTGAAACTTTAATCCATCAGAAAATAAGTTTCCTTTGGGACATAACTGAGAATGCAGTTGTTTGGAAACATTATTTTGTATGTTGAGGTATGGGGTCGAGTTTGAGATTGCGATTTGGGTTACATTTTCGACTATACCTACACTTCACACATGACCCTGATCTTTCCCTGGTTTTAAATGTGTAGTTGTAGTTGCCTAACCACACCTAAGATAAGGAAATAAGACACTTCTTTAGAACAATCATGTTCTTTGTTCATTACATGTTCATTACTTTGGAAACGATAAATTATGATACAAAACATTGTTGGTTCAGGTATGAGGAATTGTTCTTCCTTCTTGCCTCGTTGCCGCAATGGGAAAGAACACACTGGTGGTGGGCAGCTGCCAAGACAAAATAAACTTTATTTATTTTTGAGAGTGTAGGATGTGAGATGTGTGTTGATTCTGGCAATCAGGCTTTAATTCCAATCATAAATCATACTGCATGTTTTGTCACTATGATTGAACAGAACACATTTCCTTCTTTGCAGGTTTCACAACATTGGACTGTAGTTCTCTTGCTCCATTACACAGCAATGACACATCATAAACCATAGAGATCACAGGGATCATTCTACCCTTTTTAGTTTGCAAGATCATAATTAGACACCCAATCAGCCACAACTCAGGAGGAGAAACAGTGGCAGGAATGTTTAGCATCAACACCACAAGGAATTTAACCCCTTTCAAGGGACAAATCACCAAAATCCCGACCAAGTAAAACAAATCCGAGACTGGCTTTGGATTATTATGATGCCACAAGGCTCTCTTTGACAAATTGTTTCAAAGCAAACCACTGAGGAGGACATGTGCGCATGCTAATTATGAACAACCAAACCATTTGCATCAGTGGTGGAAAAGCTCTGAGGCTAGGGAGCTGGATTGGTGAACAGTATAGGTCGATTTATTTGTTGCCATATTGAAGACATATGACTTTAAACACCCCATAGCAATGTATGTTAGATGAAAGTATGTCTCTCCACCACTTTGGTGCAGATGGAAATAGATCAACAGCTTTTGACACCATTAGCATGCTAACAAGGTTAATGTTAAAACTACTAAACATTATCTTATTAGCAATTTTTTTTAAACTATGTATTTTAGCATTTAGCTTAAGGTATAGCACTGTCAGTACAGCCTTAAAGAGCTCTACACTCTTTGTTGTGTTTAATGGATCATTGCGATATCGAAACTGCAAAGGTCTACACTTTTTACTCATTGTTCATTTGTTTGCTTCCTGTAATTGACACATTTGTCAATGGGCATCTATGAAATGAGTGTTTTAGAATCATATAATGTGCATAAGAGTTAAGTGAAGTAGTACCAAAACAAGTAGTACAATGACTCTGTTTTGTGTCATGTCAACTTGTATTTCACAGTTAAATGTCCAACTTCCCCTGAACCATACTGACGAAGTGAACTCCACACACTGAAAAGAAAGTCAAGAAAGAAAGAGATGTAACCTGTCTGGATCATTACTATTTGCTGCTGTTGCTGGGGTACTTTTTATTTTCATAAGAAAGAAATTGACTACTTTAAAGTTTCCCAGCCAGTGTCCCTGATTCTCACCCGTCTACCTACTTACTGTACCTACTTGTCTGAGCTCCTCACACCTTGCCGAGCCTGTTTCCTCAAGCCTCGTTTGAGCCTGTCAACAAGCACAGGAAACTCCTCCCTCCCTATCTTTACCCTAGTTTTTTAATCTACCAACTCTCCCCGTGATGCCCTCCCTCCCTCCCTCGCCTCCCCGAACACCGGTTTGATTTATAGGCCTGTCAAGCTACCTGGCTCACGACGACAGGTTATTTCCATTACTCTTGGGATTCTCTGTAATAAGGGGATCCGATGTAAGGACATAGCACGGGGGGGGGCCAGCTGTGTAGTCCCAGCTGGGCAACAACAACAACAACAACCAGAGCGTTAAAATATTCATATATCTGTGTTCTAACACTTTTTGTTGGGTTTATCTGTGGTTACACGTGTTTTCAGCTGCGTTATATTTATCAAACCTTGGTTGTTGTGATGTTTTGTAATCTCTATCTATAATTTATGTTTGAGTCGTAAAAAGGAAATCCACCACATACAGTCGCTTACGTAGGCAAGCAGCTGGGAGCGTGTTCATATTCGCCCAGAACAAATGGCTTCTGCGCACAAAGACATCACAATTGAAGCCATTACGAAAGTATCTAAATGAGTGAGTGACACCGGAGAAGTGACACCAAACTGAGAGACCTAAGACTTTTTCACCTCCACTGAAGTAGGCTACCTTGTCTGTCAGCGAGGCAGGATGGCCTCTTTGATATTCCCTCTGTGTTGTTTTTGGAACCCCTGGCCCGACGTTGCATCACTTCCCCTGTGAAGTAGACTCAGACAAAAAGTGTCACTCACTCGTCGTTATCCCTACGGCTCTGACAAAGGCCATTTCACACGTTGTTTGAAAGAGGGCTAATAAACGGCTATGTTACACGACTTTTGCTAAAACTCTAAAGTCATGACATGAGATATCACTCACATCAAAAATATATATCTGACATTATGAGACAAAAAGATTGAAATGTTAAAGAGAAACCTAGAGTAACTGTC